TATGTGATTCTTTGGACAGCTTGTGCCTTTATATTTATCAAATTCAGGCACTTTGAACTTTGCGGGGAACTCTATATCTGGAACCAAACAAAGATCGACAGCTTCACTGATATCATAACTACCTTCTTCCACAACCTTTAGCCTCTCTTCTAGCATTTGCAACTTATCACTAGACCGAACATGCTCAATTTCAGAGGTTGGTTGATATCCCCCAGAAGTTTGGTGAGGATTCCCTTGGTTGATAAAATTAGAATTTTGGGGTTGGTAGGGAACTTGATGTTTATAAGAGGCGACATTCATGAGTGAAACCTCAGGTTGGGAAAGTTGTATTTGTGTAGGCAACTGGTTCACCAATAGTTGGTGTTTATCTGGGGGGTCCATGATTGTTGGAGGTGTGTAGTTGGGCGGAAGGCCATATGGTGGCCATTGGACCTCTAGAGGGTCAACATGTTGGCTGGGTCTATTAAGATGTAGAGCTTGTGGTTGTGATGAGATTGGGGTAAAACCAGGTAGATACGTAGGAGAAGTTGACGATTCTCCTCTGATTAATTGAGGGGTCCCTTCTACATTTTCCACTTGTATAGACTGTAACATCTTTAGAATCTGGCTCATTTGTTCTTTCAGTTGATTGATATCATTCCTCAATTCTTTGTTGCGTTCCTCTATCTCATCCATGATCTTAGCCTAGGAGTGTGTCCTATAACAATGTCGAGGAAACAGTTTGTTGTTTTTTGATTTATTACTTTCTAAATACACAGTGAATTTATGAGTATAAAAGAAAAGGAAAAAAAAAATTTTGGAAAAGATTGATTTGGTATTCAAATTGAAGAGCGATTCCCCACATCTTAACGCTAGAGGCAAAAACCCCTTAGTTATACAAGGGTTGACACTTATTTCAAGGGAGAATTCACTCCTCAATGAATAAGGTCATCTTACTAGCAATGTAGCAGTACGAACCACATTTTCAAACAGGGATCAATCATCTCAATGATCAAAATGTGATTAACAATCACTCAAGGGAAAATTCTCTCCTCAACAAATGATGTCTAAAACCAATTATATATCAATTCAAATGTACTATGATTATATTTCTCCTTAGTCATCTTTTGGGCAGATCTTACCTACCCTTTGGAGATCATTTTTTTAGCACATTTATCCTGATACTCTTGCTTAACCTTGATGCATTGCTAATATGATTTTGAATCTCCTCCATATTGAATATTATCAATTGTTTTAAAGTGTTAATGAGACAAAGACTTAGTTAAATGAAAAATATGCAACCTAATATGCCCCTAATATGCATGTATGCATGGCTTTTCATTTTTTATCCTTTATTTGTTTATTAAAAAAAATATTTTTGTCAAGAAAAGCAACCTAATTACAAAAATGATATTGGATATAAATGTATGATGCATGAATGTATTAACATGTTTTTTTTTTCTTTTGTGTTAGTATGAACATATATATATATATATATATATATATAGGATAAAGAGTAGTACGATGTGACCTATTCGATAAACCTAGGGTAGGAAATTTCTAAGGTTAACACCCTACTTTGGAAGGTCATTAAGTCCACCTATTAGTGCATGATTTTGTGGGTGGATCTAAAAACTCCTCAAGATTTATTGGTCCCCAGGTTGCCCTTATCATATAAATAAGGACCTAGCGCATGAATCAATCACAAGTAGGAAACATACCCTCTCAATATGATTAACCCATGCTACTAGTAACAACCTAAGCAGTAACTCAACAACGCTCAAGTGAGCATCAAGCCCCTCAATAACAGTCATCAAGCCACCTTCTCTTCTTAGGCTCGCACAGGCTCGGGTATAGAGCCCAAAGTGTATGAGGTACAAGTGTTAGTGAGTGTGTAGAGTAACAAATAGACATGCAAATAAAATAAATAAAACTCTAATTTAAGCTTAAATACAAACAACACATGCGTAGAAAACAAAAATAACAAAACAAATAAATAAAACAAAAAATAAAATAAAAGGAAAGGAAAAAAATTAATATTTATAAAGTCATAATTTTGCACAATTAATTTAATTAGGCCTGACTCTCAAACATCCCCAGTGGAGTCGCCATCTGTCGTAATCGGGATCACGACGGGATGACGCTAGCAATTATTTTCAATGGAGCCGCCACCAATATTTTATTTCAAGGGAAAAACATTAGAAAACCCTTTAAAAGATAATCTTTAAAATTAAAGTTGGGTCCCAATATTGACCTTTTTTATCTTTCGGCCCTGCCCCA